ACATTTTTACTAAGGCATTGGCTAAGGATCGTTTCTGCTATCTCAGAGAGAAACTTGGTGTGAAATCAGCTCACAACTTAAAGGGGAGTGTTGAAATATAAGTGGTGAGCTGATGAGAGTGTGATTAAAGTCCCTAAGCTGAAATGGTGTATTCACTTAGTCTCTAAAATAGGCAAGTGTGAGGCGTCAGTTAGTGTTAAGTGGCTATAGCCACGTGTAAAGATCTTAGAAGGCAGTTTTGGATGTAAGGCTGTGATTCTCAAGTGATGTAAGAGAATCCAGCTATTTCTCTAACAGTCATATAGCACACACTGTGCTTGCCCGAAAGTTTTAGAGCATACAATACAAAAATACAGAAGTTTTGTTTTAGCTAAGCTCTTGATTTTCTCTTGCATATTGTTTTTCTCTTCTTCTTCAAAACCTATACAAAACTCTAACAAAAGCACCATAGACGTTTCTGTGATAGGTGTCATTGAGAATGGTGGTGTTAGAAAATGCACCAAGACAGAACCTATCGTTGGCTTGAGTACCGATGATCGATAACAAAATTAGGGGAAGAAATAATAGAAATTTAGTGGAAACCATTATGCCCTTAGGTTGCTCACGGCCCATGTACAATCTGTTAAACATGGGAGAAAGCCATGAACAGATCCTTGGACCATTGAACCCGTCACCCACATATACGTGGAGTTTCAGTTTTCAATATATACTATCCATTTGACACGCACTTCAAACCTGCATATATAAAATAACAAGGTCAGACAGACTTTTTATTTTATTTTGCTTATTCTTTACTTGTTAGATCTTTGGTAGCTAGAATTTTTAGTTCTATCACCTCTATGCTATGTCTGAACTTGGAAATTATTAGTATAGCATACTACAAGCCCTATAGGCACAATACTTACTAGGTCCCCACAATTCGACTGGTTTTGGCTTGTGTTTGATCCATCACAAACACAAGCCAAGGTCTTGCCATGACAGTCTGCAATTTTGGGGTTTAGTTCCGCTATTGTTCCATCACAAACAATCATTCTCTTCAGAAAAGTTATTTGTTGCAGCTCTAATCGGGGCAAAATTGAATTGCAAGGCTTCCACACTTCTGATTTCATCTACTTCTTGGCACAAAGAACAATTTTAACAATAAGTCCGCTATTGTTGAGTCTGACATTTAAATACATACGAAATCCTTTGTTTTAAGAGAATAAATCAATCACAATTTACCTTGAACAACTACTGCTTCCTCTGTCTTCCCTAGTCTCAAATAAATGCAGTTTGATATGAGTAGAACAAGTGACACAACGATTGGCACAAGAATAATGACGATTCGAGATGTGTTGCTCTTCTTCGAGTGGTTAAAATTCTAAAGTCATCACAAAAGGTGGACAAAAATTAGCTTAGTGAATTTAATGCCCATTTTTAGCCTCTGCACTAGTTCTTTATGTGAGTGCAGAGGTAATTGTAACCAGTTTGGAGGATGAATTCAAGCATATAGATGTTGATTGATTTCATCAACTCAAGATAATATATAAAAAGTATACTTCACTGATTTGTTTAAGCAATCTAAACAATCATTAGCAAATCATGTGTATTACTTAGAGTATAAACATGTATGTATTTTTCGTATAGCCGTGCGATTATACCAAATTAATATCTATATAGTATAAACTAATGCGACTAGGAGGGTCCTTTTTTCATATTTGTTTTTATTAAATAGTATAGTTTACGACCCAAAAGAAAAAAACATTATTATAGCCGCACGGCTATATACTCGTTCTATCTAATTTTTTTTTATAAAAGAACTAGTATAGCCGATCGGCTGTACTTCTTTTTTTTTCTAATTTTTTTAAAAAAGAAATAGTATAGCCGGCGGCTAGACTCTGTTTTCCTAATTTTTTTTTTAAATAAATAGTATAGCCGA